AGTTTAACTACTGTAGTTTATTTGACGTGACCAGTGGACGTAAGTTTGTTGCTGAGCAAGGCGGCCGAGGGCAACTTGCCACTTCTAAGTGAAAATCAATTTTTCAGCCAATCAAGCTTCGGTATAAGGAATGTTGTGCGAAGGTCGCTTTTCACCGACTGGGTCAACATTCTAGAGATGTTGAGCGAATGTCGTTTTCACCGACTGGGTCAACATTCACTAATTTTGAATAGACTTTAGGCAGGTAACAAAACATTCCGACTCTCGAAACAGTCTTTATGAGGAAATGCTAAGTTCGAATGGCCGAATGGGTACAGCTTATTTATTTATATAGGATCTTCGACGGTCCGCGATTGCCCCTAAAACTCTGAATATAAATATTCAGAGAATACATCTGCATTAATTAATACCTGCTTGATGAATGTCGCTATCACGAATACTGCGCAGCAAAACGAAGATTTGATATGCTACGTCATTTACTAGATGACAGTTTATAAATACCAACCTCGGCGAGGTGTCCTTACGAAGTCAGCAATATCTTTGCTGCCATGTATCCGTTTGATAAGTGGCGGGGAACGTTGAAAAAACAGAAATATGCTTTGTTTAAATAGCTGGCAGTGTTTTATAATAATTGCATTGTGATACCGCAGTTGTCAATTTATTAGTCTCTCTGAGTTGATCAAAGTATGGCTCAGCTCAAGCCTCATAATGTGGTGGATACCCATGTATTTATCATTAACGCGTGAAAAAATCAAGCAAAATGGATGGCGAAGTGGTCACAGCTCCATTTCTCATAATTTGTGATTATAATTGATACTATCTCCACCAAGGAAATAAAGCACATTTCTAAAACAAATTCGCAATAGCTCCGCCTCTTCCGGGTATAAGATGTGCAGAGGTTCGCTGTACGAACCTCTTGAACAAATTGGCTATTGGCAGTAGAATTACGCTAGTAATATGGGCGAGTAGGAAGGACACTTAAGCAACATGCATCATCAACATGTAGCCAGAGGCGTACGTGCTCCACCAATTCAGCTCTAACTTCCCTCATGTGGTATGGGAGCATCTTG